CTCCCCTCTCCTCTCTCTTCTCTTTTCACTCTTTCTGTCCCTGTTTACTCGATATCGATATATCTCTGTTTATCACATCCTCCCCATCTCTCTCTCTCTCTCTCTCTCTTTCTCTTTCTCTCTATCTTTCTATCTCTCTCTCTCTCTCTCATTCTCTTTCTCTCTTTTATGGGCTTCCATTTCCCATCGTTTTATATTCTCCTGCTGGGTAAGGATGTCGCACTATCGGGAAGCGCAGGGCGACATTCTATCCTGAATGCAGATAGAAAGATAGCGTCCAGTTACGCAGGTAAACCCTTTCTTAAGACAGTCTTCTAAATCTAAAAATCTCAATTTCTATAAATAGTTCATTGATTGACCCTCATCAAAAAGAGCATTATAAGTGGCCTCTAATAAATTGGCAAGAGAAAAAAAAAGGGCACGATTTGTAATTATAATCGTGTCAACCTCGGTTTCCGTAACCGGATTAACTTGGTTATCTCTTTCTCTCTCTCTCTCTCTCTCTCTCTCTCTCTCTCTCTCTCTTTCTCTCTCCGTCTCTCTTTGTCCCTCATCACATCCTCTCCGTCCTCCCTATTTCACCTCAGTTTTCCTCCCACACTGCTTTTAATTTTCTACTTGATTATACAAATGCGATTTGCAGCTAGTCTAAGCATGAACAGATTGTATTGTACTGTTTATACACGCACGCTTATATTATGTCTGTTTATGTATTGAAAGAATGTATGTAACATTTCTTCCACTGTGAATAACCATATGTGTTTTGTACAAGTAATATCATGGACAATAATACGAATGATACTCAAGAATATCGACTCATATTGTGCGTGAACTTAAAGTTTATTCCATAGTCATTTTTCACAGGTTTACATTTTTAACGTAGTTTCTCGTACCTAAAAAAAGGAAAAGAGAAATGGAGAAACCTATTCTATTAATAAGAAGTCATACGTATTTCTCACGAAAACGTTGGATTGACTCGCGAGTATGTACTATATTTATGAAAGAATCCCTGCATCTATTCGAGAAGTAAGTGAATTCAAAATTCGAATGCACGTGTAGCTAATAAATATGTACGGATTCATGGTATAGATATATAAACAATCTGCAAAAGACGGATGATTATAAATGTGTACTCCGGAGCTGCACAGCGAATATTAAAGTAAATCTTTGAGTCTATTCAGATAGTCATCGTAGGTTCACTCTAAATACTCTAAGACGTTACTCTTTAAAAGGGGTTTGATTAAATCGGAAGTTGGATCGCTGCGGTTTGGAAATGAATGTGTATTTAAAATTGACGAGATCAAAACTTAAATGTCTTTGTTGTAGGGAGATTGACCTAGGGAGTGTATTTCCTTCGCTCGCTGCTCCAATTTATTCGTTTAAGGGAAGACATGGCGGGGAAGAAAGGGGGATGATTTAGGATAGATTATCTCAGAGTAGACCGCAACCGGCATTTGATTATTGGCAAAGTAGTGCGGGGGATTCAAGCCCGCCTCGGCCGGGAGGCGTTCATTAAGCAGACGGCATTATGCACGCTGGCGATGCATTTGCTCTCGCTGAGCAGGTTGGAAAATAAAGATGAGGGAGGGAGAGGGAGGGAGGAAAAAAGAGAGAGGGAGAGAAAGAGTGAGTGGAGGAGAGTGGTTGAGAAGCAGATTGCCTTAAAATACGCCACACGCTCCGCGGCGTGCATCATTTTGTCGCCGGTCACCGTTCGCGCATGAGGTGGTGTGTCGTGGAGCGTGCCTTCCTAGTGGCTCCTTCGCCGTTTCTTCTCCGGCGCGCCCACTGTCGTCTCCGTATAGCCACCCCACAGCCATATTGCTGCTGCCTGCTTTAGAAGGAACAACGCCGAAAATGCTCCACGGGCCTCTCTCCACGCTTACGAGTCCATCTAGTATTACACACAGACGCTTGCATCAACCAATCACCATGCCTCGCTTACTCAAGCAGTATATTTTCTTCTCTCTTCCATCTCCCTCAACCTCCACTCTCTCTCTCTCTTCCCTCTTATCCTATTCACCTTTCTTCTCTCTTTTTTTGCATCTCTCAGTCGTTGTGAATTTTAATCAAGTATGCACCTGCGCGCCTAAGGGGCGAAATTTACGTTCGTCGATTTTCAAGCGACGAAGAGCGGACCGAGAGCGAGGCACTAGCGGAGGAGAAAAGGGGAAACAGCTTGTTTTTTGCATAAAGGACGACATTCAATTTGGAGAGTGGGTGTGTTTGTCTCATTCTCTTAGTTTGGCTCTGTTTTTTTGACCGTACCGGCTACGAATGCAGATGAGGCTTCTGATTCTCTCTCTCTCCCAATATACGCTCGGTCGATGTCGCACGGAGACGCACTTAGTGAGAAGGCAAGAAAAAAAATCTGCATCTTGCATGCATGTCTTGACGGGGAGCTCGTACAGTCTTGACCTGAATGGATAGATATCCACGTCATTCGCTGACGTAACACTCTGCCTGACAGTACTAATGGAAGCTTCTAAGTGTGTGTACCGGTGAATCTCGGCTGACCATTTCAGGAGAGGAACATCCGATAAGGAAGGGGAGGAGAAGGAAGACGAGTTTGGCATTTAAATAGCACCGCTCCATCATTACAAAACCCATATGCACGACAATCCGCTGAGGAGAGAGAATTCGGAAACCGACGGAGAATAGTTGGCTGGTGGTTGGAGCGATAGCGCGGGAGAGAAACATAAGCGAAAATGCGGAGGTCCACATCTAACGTAGATGCCATGCTTCGAGCGCAGACGACACCTTCGCTTCGTACAGGATGCACATTTTGTATGCACGGCGCCAAGTGTTCCATGGCGACGCTCCGAGTCCACATTATATACACCAAGGTCAGTATTAGCAGTAGTGTCGTGAATATAATAAGTCTACGATCTCTTCCTCTTTTCCTCTCTATCTATCTCCCTCGCCCCGTCTCTTTTCCTCAATCCATCTCTCTGTCTCCGTCTCCCCTCTCCACCACCCCCCCCCCCCATCTTGCTCTCTCGTTTCGTACGTCTCCGCACAAAAACCTCGCCATATGCTTTCTCATGAATTCATAACTGTTCCATAAATAAATGAGTGTCAAAATTGCGTCATAAACGCCTGCTCTCTGAGTTAATACGCTGGTCATGTCGGAACGGAAAACCATGCGAGGGTCATGCTTTTTTTCTTCTTCCATTGCTCCGTTTTCTTTAATGGGTATTTCTCGAGACCACGACCGGGCATCATTCGACTGATTCTATTGCTTGTCTATAGCATAAAGAGACGGATAGCTGGAACGAACATATGTTGACATTTCGGTTCTTTGTTGTGCTCGCGTTTGCCGGCTGGATGCGGTGGTGGAAAGGGAAAGGAGTATGATTCATCGTGCAGCTTCTCTTTCGTCCTTTCTTTTCTCTAAAGAGAGAGAGACTTTTCATTAGTCATCGCTTACATGGCAACATGGCTTGTCGCCAGTGTGGGCTTGCGATTGAGTACTACAGAGGTTCGTGTTATCACTTCCTATTTACTCAATTTTCTCGCAAGATCGTGTGATTTTCTTTTGTGTACGTTATGTATTCTGTATTCAATCCCGCGTCTCTATTATAAACACGATTTTGCTTTGGAAGGCTTCCTTAGCATAAGCACCGGATTGAAGCAAATGATGTAAGTTTACCTTTCCATTCGTTTTAATATAGGCCATTTGTAATTTTTGTTAACGTTTGATATTGTGGAGAGACAAAATTACAATTGAAATAACTGCATGATTCATAGTAAAATGCAATGTTTGTCATTTTTCCCATAACTTGTATGTGTGCTTTCTCTTACCCAATATATCTCCTTCTCTCTGTGTGTGTCTGTCGTTATATATTGTCTCTTGTGTTATATTTTTCATAATGCAATCATACAGTTGCTGTTCTTTTAATAATCATCATTATCATCGCCAAAGTAGTTTTATATCATTCGGCAAAGAATACGCGGTGTTAAAGTGGCTGGATAATAACCAAGAAGAGGCGATTTCTCCTAAATTGTGATTTGAAATGCAGCTAGCTGCAATCACGTCGCACAGTTCTGTCTCCATCATCATGATGATTCAGCACTTCCAATCCATTGCCGTATTAAATATGGCCGTTTACCGTACTCATTCTTTCTCCTCTTTATTGGTCATTATTCATTGGCTGATTTTCAGCCATGGTATACTCGCCCGATTAATCCCCACCTAAAACGCAGCCAACCTGCACGGACTCACATATCGGGTATCTCGATAGGGAATTATCATAATAGCAGCGGAGACTGAGAAAGAGAAAGAGAGTGACACAGAGAGAGAGAGAGAGAGAATGCTTTTGACTCTCCAATTAATAAACTACTGTTGACTTTTCTGCAACCGCATTTTAATATTTCACCTTTGCTCGTCCCATTATTACCCGTAAAGCAACGTCCTTGTGGTGTATGCGCTAATACAATGCACGCCACCTCGGCCGTCATCTCATGCTTAGTCATATTCTCACAGCTTCGTTCGCGCTTGAGATAAATGTATGTACCTCGGTTGTCGTTTTTTTCTCATTTTCTCTCTCAGCAGGGGTACCTTTGATTGGAAGAAAGTCACATTTGCAACTCGTGAGATTCTGATCTAAGGTAAAGCTTCAAACATTTCATTAATAAATAGACTTATTATAATCATTGACATTATGATCCCTTACGTATGATAAATGCGAACAAAACTACAGTATGGTGTTCCTTCACTTACGATTCCATTCCTGACAAAATTGCATGTAAGTGATCTCGTGTAAAAATAGTGTACTTGTTTTTAAATATATATATATATATATATATATGTAAAACAGTTATAAAATGCATAGAGATTTCTTTTATATTCAATGTGACTTCTGCACTGGATTCTCCAATATTACATGACGTCATCTATATCGCTTCAAAGGAGAAAACATATTACAGGATCATGGTACGATGACGTCATCACGAGTGACCGAGCCGTCAAATTTGAACGTCCGTCCGTTTCGCTGCTTCTTCTTATCCATCCCGTTCTTAGTGTTCACTGTGATCCTTGATTTATATTCTAAAACAATTAAGGCACGCGGTGAATGCCAAGGCTCGAGGGTGAAATTTCATCCACAATCAGCGTCTAACTTCAGTTTGCATACGGGACATCGCATCGAGGAGAAGCCCAACTTGGATACCCGGATTTAAAAGGATTACACAACGTATACACAGGAAATGTATAAATATATCGCTCTCTGAGTATCCTTGGAATTCTGAGATATATTAAGCAGTATATTGGGAAAAAATGCATTGTATGCTAATTCCTGCAGCATTTCAAGTAGGCCTAAATCATGAAATTCTGCTTTGAGGAATTTGTTTGGGATTAATTTCGATTTCCGTGACGTTTATACATGGATGAAATTCTGATTATTGTTTTTAAAAATGCAGATATCTTGATGCGTCTAGGATATTCAAAGCAATAATCGTGCTTTCGTGTTTATTCGAAATAAATCTAAATTATTTGTGTTTACCCGTCCGGCCGGAGAAAAAATCATCCCCTTCCCAAATACAATTATTATTCCCTACACTTTGAGATTATCAAAATCAGTAGAACTGCTTCCGTGGATTTCAAGTCAGAAAACATTTTCAACCAGTTGATATATTCACAAACAGACATTCAGTCTAACAGTCAGTGCAATGAATTTATGATGGATTTATAAATCCGCAAAACCACCTCCCAAAAAGTTGATTTATTTAATGTAGAGGCGTCGCAGAGAGATCATTTTAGTGGTTATGTTCTTCACTCAGGTGTATACTGAAAGAAAATATTGTGTAGTTGTTGTATAATTAATTATGTACGGATTAAAGTATATATACTTTCAAAATGTATCAAAAAACTCGAATTAACTTGAAAGGTTACCAATGGAAATATGAAACGTTGCATGAGAGATGGAATCGATTGGAAAATAAAGTACAGTATTATTCAAGCTAAACATTAGATATAATTAATATGCAAGATCGTACTATTACCAGTGGAACGTGTTCTATATGCCTACAATACTGTTTTGCTATTAACAATCAAAGGAGTCTTATTGTTTGGCCTGAAGCGTGATAAGGAATTAAATATATTTTTCAAAGTGCATATTGTAAAAAGTTTTTAAGAGATTAAAAGTTATTTTATCTCTCAATGGGGGGGGGGGGGGTCGTTTTTATATTATGCAGATTACATACAATGTTCTTCAAATTCCCTTTTTTGTTAAAACCAATACTTGCCTCCTTTAACGAAACCCTGTACATTTTGTTTTTTGTTCGATGCATTTTCCTGTTTACTTATTTCCATATTTCTATACTTCCTCGATCAACGTTTTTAGCTCATATCAACGGCCTCTTATATTCCGATGCCTAATATAGAAGATAAGGGCTTGATTTAATGAGTGTGTCTGTAATACTCGTCAACATAACCTCCCACTGGTAAACAATTTATTTATATGACGTATAAGCCTCTCGAATCTCTATAATATTCAATTTCCAATATACGGTTTAATCAAACGACGTAGAAGTAGTCACGGCGGAACAATTATGGCCTCATGAAATATAAACTTGGCAGTGTGCTAGCTAGCATTTCCTAGTCTTATGCAGCCAGGCGTTTAAAACAATTTACACCGGAAATGATACCTTGCAATAATAAGTTGATAAATGATAATAAGTTCAAATGATAATGTAAACATCATGGCATCTGCACGTTATGCGATTTTCCTTTCACCTAACCGAATCCGTGCTATCGATGTAGTATTTTATACCTTTGAAGGAGATTTCGGCCGGTTGCTTTATCAGGGCATCAGTTTTCCACAGCCCTTGTTGTATTCGTTATAATAATAGATTTAAATATACATTGATTAATGTTCAGTGGAATTTATGCGTATCCCTTGGACATACTGTGAACAATAGGCGTGCTTTTCTGTCGCGTAGGGCAACATGTTTCAAGCAACTCTTATAAATAACAATATTATTCAAAAAGGCAGTCTGTGTTAATGAATAAAAAAGTATAAAAATGAAATATCTTAAATTTCTTTAATAGTATTTATTTTATTGTCCACCAGCAGATCTTTATCTGAAATATGGTGTGCGTTTTTTTAAAATCTCCTTTGGAGCTGAAATAGCTGCAAGGACTACCGTTGAATATCGTGTGTTTTTAAAAGAAATATAAAAATGACAGTAATAAAATGATACTAATGATAATTAAAAATAATAAAAATGACAATTGTAAACCTTCAGGATGAATATATCCCTTTAACAAGTTTAAAGATAAACTCCAGTTCTGGTTTTAAAAAAAAAATAATTCTCACAGAATCAAACGAAACTTACACTGAATGTTCAAGATTACAAGTAAATGACATTTACCAAACAATTTTGGAAGCAAATGTATACTGGCTGAGTAATGAGCATAGAAAGACAAGGAAATCAAGGTAGTACTAGCCCCGACACCATGTGTGTTGTCCCATATATAGCTTTCTGTGTACAGTGCTTGTTACTTTACCAAGACTCGGCCAAATTTATTATGATTTTGATAACTCCAGAACCTTGCAGTGCACACCAATACTTACATGCCACATGATCAACTGTTTCTGATCCATTCCACACCTTTTCTTTCACAATGCAATCGCATTAACAAAACTCATCTTTATCTTTTATATGCAAGATTAAGGCTTTACTTTTTATCGTTTATCTTTTATATAATTATAATCTTTAATATTTCACAAGTCTTTTTTAATGAAAATGATTTCCTCATGCCTTTGCTCAATCTATATGATGGTAAAATGCTATGTCATATTTGTGTCGATCAGTTATTGTAGTTTGAATATTCATAAACTCCCTTTATACGTATGTTTCTCTAGAACACATCTTAATCTGTGTCTCTTTTTCCAAACTTTTAAATAAAATATTTTATACTTCATCGGGGTTAGGCCGTGCGTTTTCATTCATGATTGTTTATAAACAGTATATCTTGTCGAAATGAACAAATCTTTGTTCATTATTTTGGTTTGAAAATGTGAGATATAATTTTACGTCTGTTTTATGCATTATTTTCATTTGCAAAACAGTCCAGATGCAATTCACTGCCCCTGACCAAAGCCCACCTTTTGTATTATTTCAGCTAAATAATAGTAAACATAAACTCTTACTCGCGCACATAACATTATTATAGTGTTATTCTTATCGAAGCACATTAGTTTAAAAAAAAGGTAATATGCTATTTTCACTTAAATTAACCATTATATGTGCATTTGATAGTGATACGTTGATCATTCTAAACTCTACAGTAAACAGTTATATGCCAGTCATTATGTTCTACATAATCAACTTTCCTCAATTGCTTCAAGGAAGTTTCTTTCTCAAACACACACACACACACACTCTCGCGCACACACACACACAATAAACTCACATAACAAATTCCCAAACTCCTACACAAAGATCGTAAAAACGAATTTTCATTAGAGATCTCATCTAAAGATTTTTCTTTTGAGGCCGCCATCCTAGTCAAGCATCGCTTATGAGTGCGGTCTCCTGCTCTTTTTCCACAGAAAGTTCGGATAATACTTTAAATTTATAATAATATCTACGTATAGGTATATTAAGATTCATTAGTATATGTATTTAATACGTAAATAACATTTAGACATGAATTTATTATTGTTTTTATATATCGTATTATTCCTTCAGTTTATATCCATTTTTTTATATAGTTATTATTTTTTTTTTTTTAAGGAAATGAAATCAGATTAAAAAGCAATGCAGTCGTACGATGATACCAGTTTAACCAGCGATTCGAATATTTATTGTAAAATAATTATTGTATCGTTTTAATGTAAAACGTTATATTTAATTACACAATTATATTACATATCTTACTTTAATAAGCATGATTAATGATATAGTAGCATGCAAAAAAGAAATATATATTCAATCCCACTAATTATATAGTATCTACAATCACTGAACTCGATGGAACCTTAGCTTATAATAAACACCTACTGTCTCATCAATCATCATTTCAAAGCGATCGGTGGCCGTCTATTTTTTTAACTAAGGTTCTTTGGAAGTAGATTTTTATTCATTTATTTCTATTCATAGACACTACCTAATTAAATGTTTCTGTTACTGTTTTTGTTTTTGTATTATACGCAGACAATTTTTTAGGGCTTTCAAAACAATAAGCCAGTTCACAGATACAATCTGCGCATGGACAGATGAAGGTCATTTGTACCAAAATGGTAAAACCCACAGAGATTAATACTGGATATGCGCTCATGTAACATTATTCATTTATGCACCAACGGTACATTTTATGAAATGCAGGTGGAAGTATTCTTTTCAAGAGGTCAAACAAAAGGTATTCATGAAGCACATCTAGAACTTTGGCAGTTATTATTCTAAGATGCTCAAAGTGGAACTTCTCCATGTGTAAAAGATCTGTGGATATTTGGGGTCATTTGTACCATGTGCTATCTGTAAACTCCCTTATAGCGTCCGCAGGGATACATGGTTCGATTACAAATGAACGTAAAGAGCACACTTTTAAGAACGTGACTATCACAATGACAGATAATACGTAGTTAACGTTTGAGGATAAATATAATCTATTTTTAAACCTTGCAGAAAAAATAGCAAATTCTCGTTAATGCTGATTTCTAGCACTAGTCGTGTCAATTGGTGGAAAAGCAGTATAGAAGTTATCGTGAATGGTCGAACATAAAGTTAATTAGTGTGTTTAGGCAAGGTTGGAAACCATTGTAGTAGAATCTACTGGATTCACAGACTTGTGCTGAATGAAAGGCCCTGAACACAAATACGGGTGTATTGGACTACAGTATACAAAACAATATTCCTTGCGTATTTGGCCCAAGATTTATATTTTTCTCTCCGTAAAAGTCATTCAAAGATGCAATTATTCTCATGGGTTTTTATTTTCATTTTCGAATGTAATTCTCTTTTTTGCAATTGTAAATTGTTTTGACCTATAATTGAATTTTGTAGGCCAGAATGCAACTTACTATCCAGTAATTAAACAAGATATAGGCCTGTGTGCTACTCTCTCTCTCTCTTTCTCTATCTCTTTCTCTGTTA